AAAAAAAAAACCCAAAATTAAAAACCTGAAACAAAAAACCCCCCCCCCCCCCCCCCCAAAAAAAAAAAAAAAAACATCTGTGAGCTCAACACGCCTTGTTTGATTCTAGTTTTCAAAATGCAAAGAAAAAACTAAACTTTAAAGAATATTACCATTTCTCTCATACCTGGTAAAGCTGTGAGGATGGTGCCCAGAACTAACGCACCTGCCAACATCTCCGCTGTCACGAGCTCTGCTATGTCACAATAAACAATCGGGTGAGAGCTGAAGAAGAACTCGCCGATCACACAAAACATCATCAAACTATTTAGATCTCAAGAACTCACCCTCAGAGTATTTGCATCCACCTCAGCCAGTCAGATAAACACAGACACTTCAGGATGTTTACGTCCCTGACAGTGATGGAGGTGAGGAGGTTTTATAGCGATGAGAGAGGCTCAGTGTTTGGCATCTGTCAGATGGGAGGAGGGGGTGAGGCGGGTGATCGGCTCCTCATCCGTCATTGTTTGACCCGTTTCCACTGTTGCTTTTGATTCCACTTCTCCATCTGAATCCGTCTCAAAAGATGAGCTAAAAGAAGAAATTGTGACATCCATGTGATCTTATCACTTCTGCAGCGGATTCAGAGACGCGTGTCTGTGCTACAAGTCAAATGTCATTAACCTGCAGTACGTGTTAGATTCACTTGTTATGTAACAGTCATTCATTCCTCCTCCTCCTCCTCCTTATTCTTCTGCTCCTTCTCTCTTAGGTGGGAAAAAAGTAATCAAAGTAGCTTTTTTGAAGCTAATTTCACCCAAAAAAAGGCTCAATATTCACAGGAAGGGGCTACAGGCAGCCTGGCATCTTCATAGCAATTTCCAAAGTAAAAGCTTCTACATGCTGATCAACCTTAAAGTAAAGCATAAAAAATGGTACAGTAATATTTTACAGTATCATTCAATACTATATCAGTTATTATGTACAAAGTTAGACATAATTTCTAGCTTTCTGTGTGTGATTATGCCACTGCAATTTGACAAATAACAGAATTTTCACAATTGTTTCGGCACTAAAGCTGCCAATAAACGTGTTAAAAACCAAACAAACCAAAAGCTATTTTTATAGAAGTGCACAGAAAGATGCAGGTACTATGCGTCTTTCTATGTGCTTAGTACCTGCACATAGGTACATTTGCACCTATGTGCAAATGTACCTATGTAGCATGTGCATCTTTTGCAACATGCTTTGAGTCATGTGCAAAAGACACAGCAAGGATTAACAAACAAAATGCAAAGAAAAAACAAAACACAGGAGAGTTTACTGCACCGTATGTATAAAAGTGTTTCATCACTGCTCACTGTAAATAAACATTTTGTACAGTAAAATTTGTTTTTTTTTTGTTTTCTTTTTGCTTACATGATAGGAATAAAAACCAAGGTTTTAATTCTTGAGTAATTAAGAAAATCATCTCAACCATAAAAAGGCTGAAAAGTTAAGGTTGTAAAAAAAGTATTTAGTACCAACAGATGGAGTGTAAACCTGGGGCCACCGGATCGTCTGCCTTTTTTTTTTTTTTTTTGGCAGGCTTTGTATTTTCATTTTAGTTTATTATCCAAAAGTACTTTGACTCTGTTCATGTAAAGGAGTTAGTGAGGCAAGTTATCATAGTAAAAGTCGGTAGGTTCTCCCTCTGCTTGGATATTGTCTCAGCATCAGTCCAAGCTGTAAACAGAGTGACTGACATTTGTAGCTCCATGTAAGGTTTATTTATGAAATGAAACCAGGCCTGTGGGCGGACATTAATATACATAAGTCAAACAGACGTTGACTCCGCCGCCCAGATGTCCTCTTATCCTCTGCTCTAATTGAGAACGGTTGGCAATGAAAGCTACCCGCAGCCAGACGTGTGGAGGTTCGAGACCTTTCAGTCAACTGTGTCCACTTAGCCTGATGAGTCGAAATGACTTTAACATCCTACCCTGCTGCGGCTTGGCCAATAGATGTCAGGTTTAGCCAATTGGCTACTTAGCCCAGCTCTGACCCAGGAGTAATGATGATGTGCAGTTTAACTTTTCTGTCAATCTCTGCTCACAAGCCCTCCACGGAAATGAAACCGTGGACGCACAGATAAAGCAACCTGGAAGAATTTAGCCAATCATAATTTCATTTAGCCGAAAACTAACTAGACTTGTGTCAAACGTTTGTGCCAATATCATTTTGAAGGGATGCCTAAAAGTTTCTGGTAGGTATCAAAAGTCAAGCAGTTGCTACATGTTAGCCTAATCAAACATGATTGGTGTAAATAAGACATTCTAAGTTGGAAGTACTCAAAAAGGTTTTACTTTCTTTTTGTCTATATTTGATGTTTTCTGTAAAAATATCTATTTTTTTTTTTTTTCCTTTTTTCCAAAACTTGATATTACTTGCTTCCTCCATATAACTGGTGGTGTTGAAGGTGGAGGTTTACAGGCTGAGGAGATCAGAGTCCCAAGTTCCCAGGTTCAGAATCTGAAACTGGTTCTGGATTTTCCATGTTTCTATTCACTCTATTATAGGACAAGCTCATTTTTAGCCACATTTTTTTTTTATCATAGGAGCTTGGTTTATTAATAAAGGTCTTACTCCATGTGCTGTCAGAGAGAGGTTCAAAAAGTAACAGGAAACTCGTCTTAATTTAATCTGGATTTTTCTGTTCCCTCCAACGTTTCTGTCTTCTCTCTTTTTTGATTGGCTCAGTGTCGTTGTCTTGTCTCATTGATACTGGAGAATCATCACATTATAAGACACACATTGCTTAATCTCCGTCTAAATAACATATGATTGAAAGAGACTTTCTGATCAAATCATCATCATGTCCTCACCTTTTCCACAATCTGTTACAACCAGTAGATCAGCAGGTGGAGCAGGTCTTCTGCTTTAATTGTTGGCGAAATGAAATAAAGAGAAAAGACAACAGGGTTAACAAATAGAATACATGTGGACAGAAGAAATAAGAGTTTTATAATTTGGCCTCAATTTCATCCATACTCAAAATTGTTAGCCAGGTAAAAATAGGTTTTCTTACTTTTTTTGTCAACTGGGTTCTCTTATCTTCCTCCACCTGACTGGTGGTGTTGAAGGTGGAGGTTTACAGGCTGAGGAGATCCAACCTGGGATGATCAGAGACATTATTGAGCTGCAGAATCTGAATCTGGGATCAGAAACCAACGCTGGGCTCTCTACAATGTTTCTAAAAAAATGTTATATTCAATGTCTGACTGATGAAATGGTGAAATTTCAGCATAAGATTTTATGGCAATGCTTGGTTTGTAATTGAAGGACCTACTTCACATGATCTCTGTCTCTTTATTCTGTGTCCTCAGGTGTCCCCCCTGTTGCATCAGGAAACTTCTTCTATGGGCTTTCAGCAGGATTTTCGGTGTCTCCTCAGTCCTCTGTGTCTTCTCTCTCCTGATTCTTTTTGTTTCCTTATCTGTCGTTAGGTGATGACAGCTACCGCTTATCACAGAAACTCTACCTTTTTGTTTCGGGAGGATGTTCAAAACACTCTTGTTGCTGCAGCCACAAATTAAACTTGGTTTGATTAGTACAGCCACGAACAGCACAACAACTACCCGAGCTCCACCAGGGCATCTTACGACACTTTCCGGTGTTAATGTGTGACTCGGTTCGGTTCGGGAGATTATCCGTATTACGGTCTGAAGCGCAGCATCTGCGGTAATTTCTCCTCCGACTTGCAGCGTCACTCAGCAACGGAGAACCTCGAGGTTCTGGTTCTGATGGACTAAATAAACCTAGATATTTTATTTTGTCTTATAGAAATGTATTGCTGTCCCAAACATAATGATAAAACACACTTGCTGCAGCCACTTCATGAACTTTATTATTATTTTTTAATTCAAATGAAAACTCTAATTCACATCACACCAAGCAAATTTTATGTAGTTCTGCTGTTTTATACTGTCGGCACAAACCTGCAGCTCAGAACGTTCCTGCTTTTCTCTTTTTTGTTACTGTCAGTTCTTCAGAGAAACGAGCTGCTAGCAGTGATGTTAATTCACGGTCATTCCGTCACAAAACTTAATGCTGCGTTCCTGTCGCCCCCGTGATTAATCATGATTACTCTCTGTACTGAGCAGCTCTCTACGAAATACTGCTACTTCCGGTGGGCGCCGGAAGTAAGACCCATAATCGTCTCCCAGTAGGCCCCTGACCAATAGGAGGCCCTCCCACAAAAAAATTGTTTATATGTCTTATAGAAATAGAAAAAAAAAAATCGGGGGCCCTATCAATTGCAAAATTAATCATATAGTGTTTTTAAAATTGTATAATTGTTTATGTAATATATATATATATATATATATATATATATATATATATATATATATATATATTTTATTAAGCTGTCATTGTAAACAACATAAATGAAGTAACTTCTACAAATTTTATTTAAGGACTTGTGACTAACCAATGCATTAAAAAATATGCATCCTTTGTTTTTTCAGTCTAGAAAGTGGAACTGGAAGAAAGCTTTGCGTTAAAAGGTGGCTTTCAAGACCACTCCAGATTAGATTAGGGCTACGACGGCGCTGTCGTCATGAGAGGCAAACACTCAGGTGTGTGAACAAGGATTCAGGAAACATCCATATATGCATTTTTATTATATGACATACTACGTTATATTGATCGTAGTATGTCAGCGTCTGAGGCTGACTGTCTTTTCTCATTTATGTGTCATATGTGCACACAAAGTGAATTATACGTTCAACATGTGACGGTCAACCTGGTGAAGTCAAGTGAGTCAGCGGCACATACGAACGAATGGATTTGTTCCCGTCACAAAACCCAGAGAATAGTGCTGGTTTAGAGGAGCAAAATATACAGCAGTCACTCACAATTTTTATTTTCTGAAAGAGATATTTTGTGGAAAAGTAAAAAGGTATATATAAAAAAAAAAAAAGTTGGATTTTCTCACAGAGTGTGGGGTTGAGTATTTTGTCTATGTACAGGAGAGATGCAGGTAAGATGTTTTACTGTGCAAGCTTTATTTAATTTCATTCAAGAGTTTCAACATGGTGTGAATGGTGAAATGTGCACTTCTTACTAAAACTGGAGATTTCGTTCAAGGATTTTGGACAAACACTCGGCCGTTTTCTTCTTTTCGTCAGAAGAAAATCTAGATCCACCCGCTGCTGTACAAATCTGCAAACTAAACTCATTGTCCCTTCTATAAGGCTGGGGGGCTATGGCATGGTAGTAACATTAAATAGCTAATGCATTTTATTTAGCGTATCCATGGAAACAGAGTGTTTATCAGAGCATTTTTCAAAAAGTAACGGTCATGAACAAGCTAATTTTTTAAGAATTTGACATTAATTCAACTAATTTGACTATAATTCACTAAAATACATATATTTCTTAAATCACTACACCACAGTTTAACATTCCTAACATTTCCACGAAATTCAGTCAAGAAAAAGGCTCATTGGATAAGAAAGATCTATGCTAGCAAGAATGCTATTTGTTCTTTGTACAGCAGTCAGTATTTCTTTATTTTATTTAGCGTATCCATGGAAACTGAGTGTTTATAAGAGCATTTTTCAAAAAAGTTTATTTTAATTGCACATCTCAGCAACAAGGCAGCTCAAATTGCTTTACCTCATAAGAACACAAAAATTCAACGTCATAAAAGACACCATCTTCTGTTTTCTTGTTTGGCTGCAGAGAGATTTTTTTTTTCCAGTGCTTATCCCCCCCTTTTTCAGGCTGTAGGGGGAAGCCAGGCTACTTGCGGAAAAAAAAAAAAAAAAACATACCTCAAGACTTTATGCCAGGATTCAAACCCACAACCTTCTTTCTGCTAGGTACCAGTTTTAACAACCATGTGACTGTGCAGCCTACAATCTAATACGCCTCATTTAAATGTAAATAATTTTAACGCCTCACGTTCAATTCTCTTTCGTAGTGATCAGGTAAGAAGTGAATCATGAGAACGAGCAGGGGACACAACTTAAACATTATTTAATCTGGGAGAACTTCACATCTGCAGGTTTTTATAGGTCTTTGTATCATTAAAATAAAAGTATTAGTGCTTTATTAAAATGACTTATAAGTGGAGGGTTAGGCTAGTAGATAGGCCTCAATATGTTCCTCATTTGGCTCCTAAAGCTATGAAAGCGGTCTGGATTATGTTTAGTGGAAACTGTGAGTCCAATTTTAAACAGGAACCATAATAGGGAACAGAAAGTCTCAAAAATCCTCAGGATATGGGGTTAAATGAACAATATATTCCAGTTCACAGCTTGGTTGGTTGGATTATGGGTTAGAGTCCAAAATGAGTCTCTATTGGGTGTCCATATTACCACGACTCTTATAGCGTTTAATGATCCCAGATCCCAGAGAGAGAGAGAGAAAAAAAAAACAATGACTTTGGTTCCTGGCCGAAAACATTTACAAACCTATGCTCATTTTTTTTTCTCTTTACTTTCCCATTGCTGTCTGTGTTAGACTGAGTATGAAGATTGGTGGGCTTTGAGCTTAACCTGTAACCACAGCATGACTTCAAAAGGATCATGGCACACTAATAGGTCAAAGCCTGATGTAATCTTAATCGAAAGCAGGCCGGACTAAATGAGTGAAGAGAAACAGATGGATGGAGCTAGATTAAGTGTGACTGACCACAAACAGAGAGAGAGAGGGGGGGAAGCTTGAGGTGAAAGGTAAAGGGGGGGGCGCTAAACATGATCAGACGTAGTTGTAAAAGAAGAAAGATGTAGCAGGAGAGGCAGAGAAAGAGATGGAAGGACAAGGTGTAAACTTTGAAAAGCGTGCAGAAAGGGTAAGAGACGAACGCCGGGCAGCGTCTCCAGCCCTGTACAGTAGGGATGATATCCATCCGCTGACCGCAGGCCAGATGAAGTGTGACCGTCTGGTGGTCAGACTGGACCTGAAGATTTTCCGCTGTTGCAAAACACTTCCTGCCTGCTGTTTTCATGTAATGTGACCACTCACAGTTTGCTCTCCCCCCTCCACCACCTCCTGGGCCGCCATACTTTAAGCTGAACAATATGTTATTTCTGCGTTATTTCTTATGCCCGCGGAATGGACTCGGAGCTCTCCAGGCCCTTCCAGGCTTGGACGAGCTCCACGGCCGCGAATAACGACTCGGCCGTCCAACATGTGTTAGTCCTCATATACTGAGCGGCGTGCTCGGTGGGGGCAAGAATGACGATGATCAGAGCTGCAATCATATCTGACAAGGTGATATGTCGTCCCCGCGTTGTCTTTTAAAAAGCTGCGCGTGACGACTCGATGAGAGGACGTTTTGCCAAAAGAATCACGGAGCCGGCGGGGGAATTTAAGAAAGGAAATAAAGAGAAACTGTGAGGTGGAGAGAAAGGCCGAGTTTCCTCTTGGTTAAACTAATATCAACAGCTAAAACACACAGCCTTTAGTCACTTACACACTTGACTTTACAAATAAGCCAAACTAAACATTTGGTGATTTCTTAAAACTCCTAAATCTCTGAAACGTATTGGAGCTCTATTAAATTTAGCCTGGTTTTGCTCATTCCTGTCCCATTCACAAACTCTGCTGTGGGGTCGGATTTCTGCTCCTTGTCTGCCAGAGACCTGTTTGTGGCTGCTGTGGTATTCCACGCTGAATGAGTCATGTCTGGTGGTTATTATGGGGCAGGCGTTTGGCTCACCCCCCGACTCTTACCCCGTCTAGTGGCAGCAGACAAAAATTACATGATGTTTTTTGAGCCTCGTCCAGTTATGCTGACGAAGAGCGGTTCTCATTTAACCGGGCAAGATGAGTTAAGGGCGCATTTTTGCTTTGTGATGTAAGAATACCTGACAGCATCGAAGAAGATGGCAAAGAAAGCTCTAAAAAAGGAAACATTGACAGTGAGCTTCCTGGAAATGAGCAATTTGTAAAACGAAAACAGAACTTTACTGACTTCTTAACTAATTTAAGCTAAAATTACAACCTTTTGTCTTTGAAAAACACAAAGTTTAATGGCTAATGACAAATAGACAGGCATCCTAAGCGTGTCTACTACTTTCCACAATACAGTTTATGTTTCATTAGATGGTAGGAATCATAATGTCTTACTTATATGTTTGTAAAAGGAGGAAAGGAAAGGAAACACACAGACCCCTATCATTGTTATTGTGGCACCACAAATTTAAAATGAAAAGGAATCTTGTATATTAAAATGCAGAACAATAACAGAACAAACTGTACTTATTTGATTCTGTAGTTCTTACAGATTCATAAGAACTACTCTTCTGAGATCTGCAAAACTGAAAAGGAATCAAAAGTCTGCCTAATATCAAACCAGACTAAACCATTCCTGTTTTGTCTTTTTCTTTTTAAGATTTTTTTGTATTAATTTAAAAAAAAATCTAAGTTTTTGATTCACTCTGATTACTTTGCAGGAAACAATTTCAATAGTTTTCAGAGTTGACATAGTCCACTGTATGGATTATCCAAATACCTAATACAAGATTCTTCCATAGTCATTTGAAATTTCAATTTCACCGCAGATTGAAGATTAAAAGCTTAAA